TGAAAATGGAATGCAAACACTATTTGTTGTTTGTTTATATCACGCAGTCTGTTCTTCTTCTCTCGGTTATCACGTAGTCTGTCTTCCGGTTGTTGCCTCTTTTGAATGACGAATACACACTACCGCCGCCTGGTGGTAAGAAGAGTTATTGCCACTCACACATGCGCAGTTCGTACGTGCTTCTTGGCCGTTGGCTGAAGTCTTTGCGGTGTGTTCCAGTGCGACACATGGCCCGGACACACAAGCTGACACCAAAGAAGAGCCAAACAGCAAGGACGTTAAGGGTTCATGTTTTCTTTAGCCACCTTTGACTGCAGAACTTTAATAGAGTTAGACAGCTTCATTCATGACATTAGGCTCACTTCACAGATGGCAGTCTAAAAGTTTGGGTTAAGGTTAGTTTTGCCTAGTCTTCATTGCAGTGGGAATCTCCATTTGTATGGAAGCTTCCACATTCATTCAAATAAAATGCAAAATTCCACGGATGTCAGCCCTAAATAGTTATTACTCTCCTCACCTGTAGCAACCCAATGCAGAACAATTTTTTTAAGGCTAATACTTGTCTTAACGCCTGCTTATCTCCTCACTGCTAAACGTCAAACCCCCTCCTATCAGTCCTCTGAGCACATGTCCACATGCCGGCCCCCTGACAGCCCTCACTATGACCCGACATGTTTCCAGATCCCTGTATGGCGCTCTGTGAAGGTGCTGATGGGGTCTGCCAAGCCCATCTACATGCCTGTCTAAAATTAGCGCCGGTAGTTTCCTGTGCCCTTTAATCCTAGGCTTTAAAACCACTAAAGGCCAAGCTGCAGACAGGAAGAACAGCCATGAGAGCCCCATGCCACGCATACCCCCCCCCACCCCCGATCTGTCAATCCCCGTCCTGCCATGACATCACAGCGGACCATAATAAGAACAAGAGCTTCCTAAAGTTGTTTTTGGGCTTGATGGACAGAGGTGGGAAGTAGTGGAGTACAAATACTTTGTTACTGTACTTAAGTACATTGTTCTGGTATCAGTACTTTCTACTTCTTACATTTTCCAAACAGGCTGGTTCCTTTAGTCTGAATGTGTGTTTGGTGGCGTGATCATTATTATTTAGAGTCATTGCGTGCCTATTGATTTGAACACGATTCGTGTATCCATCATTTCCTGGTCTTCTCTAAAGAAGAGGGACCAATGAAAACGTTTTCATATTGCCGTTGTTCACCATGGAAACATTCATTAGCTAACAATGACATTATTGTTCTATTAATATAAAGGGAGGTCAGGTACTCTTTAAAACAGCTGCTAGTTATGGGTACTTTTTACTGAAGTACATTTCAAAGCCTCTTTACTTTTACTTGAGTAAAGAAGTTTAGTCAGTACTTCTACTTTTACCAGAGTATTTTTAAACATGAGTATCTGTGCTTCTACTTGCATGTGTGTACTTTTGCCATCTCTGCTGATGGACGACATCCGAATGGAGACCTGCCCTTCACCTGCAGGGTCACAGGTTTGACCTCCAGCAGCCGCCTCTCACTCCATATCTGTCACAGTGTCCTTGAGCAAGACATTGAATTGCAACCTGTTCAAAAGGGCACCACTACCAGTTGGCCACGGAAAAAATTGCAAAATATTCTGTCTCCTTTCCTGTATTTCTTCGTTTGGTTATGCAAATTGTTGTAGGTTAAACGGCAAGTTACGAGATTCATACAAAATGTTAGTGACCGTTTTTGTATTACTGTGTGTACTCTGCTGTTACAGTTAGGTTCTAGGAGTCATATTATTATGAAATGATTACCCAGGAAATGGAAAATATCCCCTAAACTGGAAAGTGGGCAAAGGGGAGTGCGCTGGCACCTACTGGGTGTAGGAGTCTCTTTATAAATCAGTTACATCAGGACATGAGTGTGCAGGTTCAGGCCTTTGTTACACGGCCAATGATTCACTGGCTTTGTTCAGGATTGTATTTCCAGTTCAAACCTAAACAAAGATACTTATTTTGTCCTGTCATTTCTTTATCCATCACCTGTTTTTAATAAATAATGTGATTGATTTATTGTGATTTGAGTTTTACCAGTTCGTGTCAACAACCTTAGTTTACCTACTGTATTGAATATTATTTTATCTCCAAAAATGTATATATCGTTATATATTTTCTCTATTTTGAGAAGCATGATATACTTGATTGATGTTCGTGAAGTATTGTTGGCCAAGTAGTTTGATCAGACCCTTACATTTTCATAATAACATGAACATTATGAACATATTATAAATATTATTGTAATTCCAGCTTATTTTGGGCTGTGTTAAATATTATCACGAAGGTTATATGTTTTTGTGTATACATGCATTTGTGTATGTTTATATACCAGTATACCTATTTACATTTGTATTCTTTGTTGCTTATCATTATATGTTTTGTACTTATTCTGTCCTATAAAGTAATAAGTTATTATTTGGGGAATAATAAATATTTTTTAAAAAGACCCTTAACCGTCACTACATCATCACCGTTGACGAGTAAAACACTTCTGGAAGCCAACCATATAAGGAGTTTTCTGTTTCCGTTCCCTCACATACATGAGTAGGTACACATAATATGTTGCACGCATTAAAGAATTAGCAGACAAAAAGTGCTGCATGGGGCATTTTTCAAAAAGTCCCCTTTCATAAACACTCACCGTCCATTTATCTATTAACTTTGATGTATGCCTATCAATGCTTTGCTTCTCCCTTAGCCCAGACCCCAGAGAATGAACACACACACACACACACACACACACACACACACACACACACACACACACACACACACACACACACACACACACACACACACACACACACGTGTAAATCAGTGTGTGTCAGTGCTGAGCTGTGGATCCAGTTGAGGCTTGCGTGAGATCAGCGCTCCTCGTCCCTCTCCTGCAGTGAGGATCATCTTCTCCTGAGCCTCCGGGTCATGCCACTGCTCTTGCTATCAAATAACATCATATCTAGGTGCTCTCAGCTGCCTTTGATGCATGAATGCAGAGGCCCGGCCTTCCGGAAGTGCCCGAGGGAATGTTTTCTGTGAACCCGGCGCCCTCGCAGCACCTGGAAAAACCAGTCTGGTTGTTTACTGCGGGACTGGAATGACTTTGTAGCTGTTGGGCGGCCTTTTGCAGTTAGTGAATGATTGTCGCAGAGAACAGAGTGTGCATGGGGCTTTGTTGCACACGCTTCGTGTGACAGGATATGCTAATTGTGAACTGGAAATTGAAGTGAGAGATGTGTCGAGTGCTGAAGTTAATAAATAGCGAGAGCTTGGTGAACAGCCTCGTGATTCACTGTTTTTCGCTGTCGTGACTCGGCCTGCTGGTTAACACCCAGCCGTGCAGCGGGTGAAGAGACAATTACATAAACGTGTCACTGTGGAAACACACCAAACACCAGCGAGTGTATCAATGGACAAACAGGCATAGAAAGCGTCAAGTGTAGACAAAATAGCAATTTATTAATAACTTATATGTTCTTTACATTCGTAGGAGAGGAAAGCGGAGGGGGTTGGCAGAGGGGAGCAAGATGGCTTCCTCTGAGAAATGGCCTTCTCTGTAAGCTCTCCAAAGCTCTGGATTCTTTTTCTTTTCATCTTGACAAACACAAACTGCATTTGGCAGAGTTTTCCCTGAAGAGGCGAGGTGAGCAAAGCCTCCTAACTTTGTCCACATGTCAGAGACTTTTACCCCTTGTGCACAGAGCAGGATTACTCACATTAACCTTCAGAGATGGAGGATATTCTGACTCCAACATTTGGATAGCATCTATGGATTGCTCCGGGTTTGGTTGACATTTTGTGTAGACTTATAAAATCTCTAGGATATCTCTGAAGGTTAATGCAAAAAGAAAGACTTTCTGGGCACAAAAGTAAGGCAAACAACCAAGGTGACTTTGATTTGGGAGAGGGAGGGTGCAAAAACAAGGCCTTGACGGCTGAATTCACACGTAAAGCGATTATCAAATATATTACACATGTACACAGTTTTGCAGAATTCATGGAAAGCCGACTTGATTTTTGGCATAATCAACTTAAACATACTGATCAATATGCAGTTTGTTTACTTACATAAAAGTAGAATATGAAACATAGGAGGATCTTAAGTACCCACTTGTTGCAAAGGGTATATACTAAAGCAAGGCTTGTACTGTATTGTCATTTATATTAAGATATATACACAATGTATAAATGTTTGAAAAGACTCCACAAATGCAAAATTGAGTCCGGTATATATTGTGCCATCTAAAGCTGGGGTGCTTCGCCCCACACAGGCAAGTCTTCACAGAAGACGAAGGAGACACGCTGACGTCTCGGGGCACCCAGTGCTGGACCCCGAAACAAACATAAAAAAGAGTTTTTTTAGATGTGTCCAGTTTGAACCATCATGTCTCTTTGGCACACCAGCCCAGGAGCTTTGAAGCAAATCACTTTTCTGCAGAGAAAATGAGAAAGTCCAACAGTGATAAAAGATTGAAGAAAGTTCCTGCACCCTTTAAGTGAATCTCTCCACTGTCTCTCCTCATTTAGTCAACAGCAGCGGCGCCTTGGCCAGAACGCTTTGGCCCTCCAGTAAGCACGCCTCAAACACGCCGGATCAAGAAGGTCAAGAGCCCAGTGCCATGGCAGACGGCGGAAAAAAGAGAAACTTTTTGCAGCTTTTTCAACAGGAGGCTGACAAAACCTCCAGCAGGAAGAAGGGGGTTGGCCTCAGACCTCACGTGGACTCCAGGGGGTCCAGCTGGAAGACGTTGTGGTTTGTCGGGGTGGTGAAGTAAAGCTGCTGTGTCGGCGGCGCAATGCGGTTATCACACGGGCTCTTCAGGCCCAACGTGCGCTCGAAGTCCAGGAGCTGGCCCATGAAGTTAAAGTTGGGGGAGATGTTGGACTTCTTCATCTTGACGATGTCGTAGGCGTCGTTCATGGACAGGTTGAGCTTCTGCATCAGGTAGGCAACCGTTACCGTGACGGAGCGGCTGATGCCGGCCAGGCAGTGGACCAGGACGCCACATTTCTGACCTCGAGCTTCATCTATTAGAGGAAAGAACAGAAGGGAAAGGTTAGAAACTTGATCGAGAACTAAGACAACGGGACAGCAACAAGCACATTTTCTTTCCAGCTTTGAAAAGTCAATAAAATGTCAGAAAAGTCCATCTTTATTTTTCCTAGTTTTGCCTGTTTAAGTGGCACTTCACTGATATTTTAACCACAGAGCACACAATGCAGCTCCTTCCTACACACACAGAACACAACCTTTGATAAACATCTGTGACATTTAAGTCAAGCTGTGTTGCAATCTGAAACTGGTCCTCGGAGGGAGAGCAGCGGAAGTTATTATCCCGGCTATCTCCCAAGCATGTCGGTCAACAAACAGGGTCTGCGGCAGTAGCTCACATAAACAGAGCCGACATTCTTTAGTCTTTGGCCTAGAGTAGCTCGTTGGGAAATTGACTATTACGGTCTATTAAACCATTCTTCCGCTCGACGGGGTTACTCCGACAATGGTGCCATTTGGGCGTGTAAACGTAGGAGTCATGAGGGCACCCTGTCAAGGCGAACAGGATGTCAACAGCGCCTGTAAATGGCTCCTTTTGTAATGTGGAGAGGAGAAAGGAGGGAGAGGGGGGGGCAATGCCATGTCCTAGATTACTTTCAATGCCACTTCCTTCCTGCTGCGCTCAAATTACCGCCCTCCCCTTGTTCACTCTGCCCATTCTCCTGTTTCAACGTTGCCCTTTGTGCTGCAATTACACAAGCCCCAGAACAAGAGATAGGCCAGGATGTCTTCCATTGAAGTCAAATCATTTGTACACAGTGCATTTCAGCCTGTGCACCATTAGAGGCAGCCTTGTGTTCCTCTGCCTCCTCACAATGGCCTTAATCTGCAGCTCTGCGTGTCCCCGCTTGATGGACTGATAGGATCACAGCCAGGGACACCTCATCTAATCTCAACAGCACAATAAGAACCTGAGAACTTCCTGGCAGAGATAACACATATCCCGTTAATAAGATTATGTCCGTGACTATCTCCATCTGCCCTTTAAGTTTGACAGCGTGCATTGAAAACAAATCGCATCTGGTCCTCAAGTGGGGACTTAAGTAAATAGTGGTTAAATGATTAAGTGAATAATCACATGACAAGTTGGATCCTTCGGAAAACATGTGCTGCTTTTTGGGGTCATTGTTAACTCATACATTTGACTTTCTGAGACAAAACACGAAGTTTGAAGTGCCACCTTGGACATGTTTGAATCTTTTCTGACATTTTATGAATTTAAACAGTTAAATCAACAACAAAAAGAAACATGATTTGCCCCCCTAAGCATGTAAACAACCCAGAGGCCTTGGGTTAAGGTGAACAGTTTGCAGCAGCTGCAGTGTGTTTCTAAGCTCTGCAGGATTACTCACCAATGAAGCTGATGGCCTCCGGGAAGAACTGGGAGAGATTCTGGCTCCAGTGATCCGAGATGGGGATCTGCTTGTACTTAAACTCCCCTGCGTTCTCGAAGAGGTTGGGCAGGTTGGGGGTCACGTTCAGGATGTACTTGATGCCGTACTCCTCCAGCACGTCCAGGTTGGTGGAGTCCTTGGCGCAGCCCAGGTACAGGTGCGGCAGGATCTCCACCGGGAAGCAGGGCTGCGGGTTGGACAGCGGGCTGCCGTCGGAGTCCGTGGCGCTGCTGGGGTCCCGGTCGATGTCAGACTCGATGTCCGAGGAGTCGGAGCTGATCCGCAGCCCGCCGAGGCCCAGCACCTGCGCGGTGGGGGAGCTGGTGTTGCAGGACCCGTCCAGGTTAGTCTCGCACAGAGTGGGATACTCGGCCTGGAATTTACTGAAACCACCTGAAAAGAAAGACAAATGCATTTAGAAACAAGGCCATGAAGTGTGCATTTCTGTTGGATTGCAAAACAGGATTTATCGACCAATTTAGCTGCATATCATTTCTACTTCTGTCAATATTTTTGCATGCATGCATTGTTGGCTCTTTACTTGCTGTAACAATATCCCCTCTGTGTGACGAATACATGTATTCTGATTCGTATTCGTTAAAATGCAACAAAAAAATGCCTGCAAACCGTTTGCTTTGATCACTGATTTGCACATTAATTTTGTTTAGCTATTTCTAAGCTGTAAGGAAGTCACGGTGCCACTCAAATCTCCACATGCTTCCGCCTCTGCGCATTTCTCCCCGGCTGTGAATGAGCAGCTGCGCGGCTCTAAAGTGTGAATGAACCGCACTCACCCTCCAGATAATAGGCCTTGTAGCCTTCGTCCTTCATCCTCCTCAGCAGTAAACCGAGCACGGATCCCCCGTCCACGTTCTCGTTCCACTCCCGGCTGTACTCGTCGTACAGCACGATGGTGTCCGTCTTGCACCGACGCACGAACTTCTCCCGGTCCTCCCCGTTGGAGAGCAGCGACCTCACGGGCAGGTTTCCTTTCTTCAGCCTGCGGAGCATCAGGCTCGGTATGGCCACGTTGATGGAGGAGTCTACATGCGAGGACTCGTAGAGCTCCTGGGCCCGGCAGTCCATCACCAACAGGCCGTCCCTGCGCGTCTCCAGCTGCTCCCGGAGCCACCCCACCGTCTTGCTGATCGCCATTACCGACTCGATCTGGATGACGGGCTTGAGCCTGTCAAGCATTTATAAGCAGGAGTGGAAAGAACGATGTGGAGAAGCGAGGAGGGTTTGGAGAGTAGAGTGTCCTGTCTGCTGCGTAAAGAAGCAACACAGTAACACTGACTGGGATTTATGTTTTCAGTCCTCTGCTTGCAAGGCCCTCAGGAATACAAAAATGTGCTAAAATGCAAAAGAGCACCAACACGATCTGGATCCAAATGTCCTGTAAACGGATCTGTAAAAGTCTCCTTCACAGATTTCTTGGGTTGCGTTCACTGGCGGTCATTCATGCATCTGCTCGGAGAAAGCCCGTGTTATTTATCAATGAGTCACCCGGGCACTGCGTCGACGCGGAGGCTTCCTTATATAACTCCACGGCTCCAAGCACTTATCCAACACTGTGTTCCTTCTTGTGTCTCCACAGTATAAACACACGGTAGCTGCTGATGTCTCTGGGATTAACCACGCGGGGTTGTGTGCGTCTCTTCGCGGCTGTGGATCTCCCTTCTGTGCGCTCTGGTGCAGCTCTGCAGTCTCTGTGTGAGCTCTGCTGAATGGCTTCAAACTGGAGGCGTTTCATTGGATACATTATCCCAGGCAGCCAATCAGAGGAGCCTCAGCGGCGGTCTCCTTGGAAACGGGGGCCGGATGGAGCGGCCCCGTGTTGATGAATTGTTAATGAGTTTGTCATTCACAAAACGGAGAGGAATTTCCGCTCCGGATCAAGTGAGTGCAAACAAACAGAAGAACTGCAGGGAGAAGGAAGGAAGGGAGGGGGGAGAGGGGGGTTTACTCAGAAACAGAGGGAGGGGGGGGATCACATAAGAGTGCAAGGTATCGGGTATAAGCCTATAATAATGTACTCTACATTACTCAGTAAGCTCAAGAGATATTTTGTTACACTTAACACAATGTAATGCATTCGATCTGGAACAGAGAGTAAATATCTGATAGATATTTAAAACCGGTTTTGGAGTTGAAATATTACATAAGAGTCTGAGGTATTGTGCAATATTATTACAAGCCAATTACAAGTCAAGTTGAGATATCTTGTTACACTTAACACAGTGTAATGCATTAAGCTGACACAAGAGTAAATAAGAGAGCGACCCGACCACGGATAAGCAGAAGAAGATGGATGGATGGAAGAGTAAATATCGGATTTAGTATATATTTTTAAACCTGTTTTTGAGTTAAAATATCTGAAAAAAGTGCAAGATATTATAAGTGTATAATAAACTTTATTCAAATAGTCTGACATGTAGGAAAGTTCAAGTTGATATATTGTTTACATTTGGCAATGCAATGCATTTAAGCTGACATGAGAGTACATATCTGACCTCTAGACATTTGAAACCTGTTTTGGGGTAAACTATCACATATGAGTGTGAGGTGTTGAGCAACAATAATACAAGCCTGTACTAATTAGCTTTCTATTTTTCAGTGAGTCTAAACTTTCAAGTAGTCCAAGTTGAGAGCCTTTGTATCACTAAACAGCTCCCAGTGCAATGTATTCAGACTTATGAGAGTACGTTTGATCTATATTGGATATTTCTAACCTGTTTTTGAGGTGCCTTATAAGCAGGTACAGAAAAAACTATACTTTATTTTTGTTGCTCAGTGATCAAAATGTTATGTAACTTGGATTTGTCACATATGACAATAAAAACAAGTATCTTGCCAAACAGTTTTCTGACTTATTCCTTATTGAAAAAGACACTGCATAAATAAAACCTTCACATTCTCTCTGTTCTCCTGAAAGGTCAGAGGTGAGCCAAACAACAACTAGTGCCTTCCTCAGAGACAACTGAGTTGTTGTTTTGAGATACTGCATTTGTATATTTCAGAACTCAATCTGTGTTATACGCTAGCATTCTTATTGACATCATGAGAACTATAGAAAAAAGCCAACTGAGGCCCATTATGAAATAATAAATAAGAATAAGTCTGAGATCACTTAAAGCTATATGAATATTATGTAAACGCCTAAAATAAAGGTATTTATAGCGTCTCAAGACACTAGTCAGATGTTTTCTGTCCCTCTATCCACTGCAGACTTTCCTGTGTTTCTGTGCAGCTTTTTCATGCAGAGTGAAATAAACTCAGTTTAATAACACTGCTCTGTGGGCACTGCAGCTATTTGTGTCCGTGCAGCCTTCAGTGGACTGGAGAGGTTCACATGTGTGGGAGGGGGTGCAACAACAACAACTGTCTCTCTCTCTCAGCCTCAGCAGACCAAGTGAAGGCCCTGTGCACAACATACACCTGTTTACAGTCCATATGTATTATTACAACACAGTATTTGATTCTATTGTTCAGTATGTTATTTAACATGATGCCATTGGAATGTAGTTCACTTGCTACTCATTCCTGGTTTTCACTCGTCCTCTTTAATGTATTATTATTATTAATGTATTATTATTATCATCGTTTTGCCTTTATGGAGGAACTCTGGACTTTCTTTGTGCAATTTTATTACATTACATCACATGTCACTTAGACACTTTTATCCAAAGCGACTTACATACTCAATACTGTGGGCAATCCCCACAGGAGCAATTTGGGGTGAAGTGTCTCAGGGACACAACGACAAGCTGACTGCAGTGGGGTTTGAACCTGTGACCCCCTGATGACAACACAAACGCACTAATCCACTGCGCCACAGCCTCCTATTAAATACTTTCAGTGTATTTGTTGGAAATATAGCTATTACATATCGGGCTTCTCCATCAGTGCATTATTAAAAAAAACTATAAGAAAAAAAAAAAAGGAAATAGGGAAATAAAAACATAAATTTGTAGCAAATAAAACGCAGGAATAAGTATTAGTATAACTAAATTGTGCACATGAGGCTTTAAATCTCTGAATCTGTAACACTGGCGTAAATATCAACCTTATATTTTACATTTGAATGTTATTAAGCTGTCACTAAGTATGTGGATAATGTTAATGCAATAAAATGTCGTATTTCTATGGTTATTTTTCATAAGGACACGTATTACCAGTCAGCTCCAGTGTTTCTGCGCACAGTTAAGAAGGACTTCTGCTATCTCCACGTCCTTTCACACCTCTCTCTACAGTACAGTCCACTGATGGCCTCCCATCGGCCCGTTAATGACCTTCACACCTTAACAAAAGGAGCATTTCCACCGAGGTGAGTTTGTATCACCTTCTGCGCCTGGCAGCAGACTGTAAACGCAAACAAAGCGTTTTAATTGATGACCAGTTGATTTAATATCACTTGTCCTGACTCAGGAGACAATGAAACAGCGTCATCAGACCAGAGCAGATGAGACAGATGTGATCCACAGAGGAAGTGGGAGATCTGGGATGCATCATAGGTGTTGAATGATTTCATGTAATGAACTAACTTGTGGCTGCTAATTGCTAATCCTGTTTGTTTTGCTATAGCACCTATTCTCCTGCCTGGCTAAAAGGGGCGTGATTGTATTTGTATTTATCCCTGAAATATGTAAGAATATGGCAGAGTAATTAAGCCTTAGTGAATAAAGGTGGTAATTAAATACAGTATGTAATAAATGTTGGAGAAGTAACGGCACCTCTCAGGTAAATTAAGTGGGAAAAGCACAATAAATTACCCAAAAACCTTTACTTTTTATCTGCACTGCTGATGTCGCATATACAGGCAACATCTTAAAAAACATATCCATTCTCATGTCAAAACATCCATTAAGTTTTCATCACACATTTATTTTAGTCTAGAAAATCTATTAACAGAGCAAAAGGCTATAAAATGTTTTGCTAGGAATGTTGGGATTCTTTCTGATTGAACAGCAGGTTCAAGGTTCCTTTCTATTGCTGTCAAACACACACACACACACACACACACACACACACACACACACACACACACACACACACACACACACACACACACAAAGGCAGACGACTCCTTCTCACCCGGCAGCCCGTCTCTTCACTACCTGCATGTGTGTGTGTGTGTGTGTGTGTGTGTGTGTGTGTGTGTGTGTGTGTGTGTGTGTGTGTGTGTGTGTGTGTGTGTGTGTGTGTGTGTGTGTGTGTGTGTGTGTGTGTGTGTGTGTGTGTGTGTGTGTGTGTGTGTGTGTGTGTGTGTGTGTGTGTGTGTGTGTGTGTGTCTCCGTGGTGTGTTAGCATATGAAGTGTGGACGGCCCCGGCGTTAACATTGGCCCTTTGGCCCCTGCAGCAGCCCCCCC